ATTCAGACAACGCGAAAACTTTCAAATATGCTGCCAAAGATTTACAGTATTTATACAGCATAATTAAAGGAGCAGACTTCAAAATTTCCTAGCAAATGAAAGCTTGAATAGGAAATTTATCGTCGAGCTTGCTCCATACCATGGAGCTTTTTATGAACGTCTTATGAAAACCATAAAGGAACCGTTGAAAAAGATATTGGGCAAAGAAGATATTGGGCAAAAAGATATTCTTCAAAATTCAAACTGAATTTTGAAGAATTTATGACTGTGTTGACAGAGGTCGAAAATATTGTGAATTGACGTCCTTTGACCTACATTTACAATGATTTACATGAACCTGAAACGCTTGCGCTGGCTGGTTTCCTATTGATCGGTCATAAAGATAAATATCCATGTAACTTTGCTGAGATCCTGAATAGATCTCCAACAAGAGAGAGTCTAATGAAAAGAAAAGAATATCAGACAGCACTTCTGAAACAGATCTCGAAAAAATTGAAAAGTCAGTATTTTCTTGAATTAAGAAATGCTCATATCTTCGGTACACCCGAAACTAAGAAAAATCTTAAAATTGGTGATATAGTTTTATTTGAAGGAACAACTAAATCTAAGTTCCTCTGGGATTTAGGCCGAGTAATTTAAAGTTTTAAAGGACGTGATGGTATTGTACGATCATGTGTCGTAAAAACAAAAAAAGGGGACCTTTAAGAGACCTGTGCAGTTGATATACCCCTTGAACTTTCTGACTGAAAATGAACTAATTTTGTAACTTTTAAATCTTATTTCTTATATTTCATGTTCACTAACATTAATTTTAGTTAATTAGTTTAGTTATTACTAATAATTTACTGTTTGTAATTCGAATTAATATTTACTTATTGAGTAATATTTGAATTGTATGCTATTGACATTTTAAAATTTTATTGAATTTCTTCTTTTGCTGTTTATATCAGTAAATGTATTTGATATTGATATGTAAATTGCTTTCTTACATATGAATTATTTTGTATGCTGAAAAAGTGATAATTTTTGCAAACATTATCAGGTGGGGAGTATTGAAAAATCCCACAAATGATTTTTATATCGCCGTTAGAGGGCGCTTCTCTTCTGAGAAAAGAATAATAGTTAGCTCAGTTTGTGACGTAGTAGATAATGAACCATCGATGCAATCCAGATTGCTTTTGTAAATAAAATGATTATTTTTGTAGATTGCTGAAGTATTGGCTTCCATTAGAATTAAGTATCATCAGCTCTCTTAAGGAAGTCAATTTAATATAAATATATGTTTTTTAATAACTTGTTCTAAAATAAAAATACCTATTAGAACATTAAAGTAGAATTCTACATAAATATGACCGAAATTAAATTAATTGAGATTGTTTGTTACATAGTAATTTACTCATTAAACATTACATTTTAATAGTAATAGATTAATACCCAGCTTTAACTCTGATTGTAAAAAGATAATGTTTTGGACGATTTGTAACTTATCATATTTATACATGAACATGAGGCATGACTGTTTATTGTAGATCAGCATATTATCTTCACTGCTTTGTTTCATAGTATCAAGGAATCTTTATCTTGTCTATACTCGGAGATACAGCTAACCTGAAAAGCTGACAAAAATAGCGATAATTATACAACCAATAATACATTTCTTGAATTTAATATAAGAGAAAGGATTCAGTTACTTTCAGAAGCAGCTAAGGGATAGAGGCAATATGCTGAGTTCATAAAATTTTATATTTACTCATTTTTATTTAATATCCTGCTTATCTCTTGTTTCGACGTCAGAGCACCGTCCAATAAATGTATCATTTTGCTCTGAATGGCTCATTTCGGGAATTATTTATTATAAGAAACCTAAAAAATCACCATTTTTTGTGAGAAGTAGCCGAAACCTAATCTATAGACCCTTTTCGCTGAGAAATTCTTGACAATCATCTTTTTAAATCCGATTTTTTTTAATCCCTACAAAACTGAAGCAAAATGTAGCATTACATATAGATTGGATATCTTTATATTTCTTCACATACATCTCGGAAAAAAGTGATCTTAAAGCAACAAAAATGTGCAAGTTGGAAAATATTCTCTGTAGTAAATAAAAGAATCAAAAATATTCAAATGTGGTATTCAGCGTTCACGTTAAAGAAACAATGCTCAATGTGGCGAAATACAAGTGTAAATGTGGTGATTTGATCTTTGTAGCTTTCTTGCTATTGTTCTCAGGATAGATTTATTTCGGTCAGAGTATCAACAAAAAAGATTAAAGTGTGGAAACGTTTCAGATAAATTCAAAAATAAGGGGTGAATATACCTTTACAGAAATAATTAGAAAAGTGTTATCAGTAATTCTTATTTAGAATGTATGAAAAAGAAACAAGTGCCACTTTCATATCGTGTCGTATCTCATACACATTTTTCTGTCGTTATGGACTGAATAGCTTAACCAACACGTTGAGGAGCAGTCCTTAGAATGCTTCTCAGCGTGTTGAGTTCTATCAATGTAATATATAAATTTGAACTTGGCACTATGTCCGGCTTGGTGAACTTGGTCAATGTAAGGCGAGGGTATCTGAAAGAAGGACCGAAACAGAAAGGGAAAACACATGATCTGTAACTGACATAGTTCAATTAATAAAATTTAAAATGATGGTGTACCGCTAATTTACTGGTACAGATTAGCTTCTAAAATTATTCTGTAATCGTGCTAATAAGTGAATATGACTCCCTGATGGATCATTGCGAATCAGCACATAGATTAATACAACCAGTAGTGTAACTTTGCATCATTTTGAAAAGTCTCGAGTCGAAATGGTAGTCTGAGTAAGAAATTATTTAATTACAATGCACTTTTTATTATTCTTTTCAACTATCCGCTACTCGATCCCACCAATGGCCGAGTAGTTAAGACCACTGCATCCTGGTAGTTCGATACGATTTTAGACCCAGGCTAAAATGCTGGCTGTATGGTTCGCTTTCGTGGTTTCGTATATGTAACGTTAATATAAGACAGTTTCCCTAAAAACGTCTTGCGCGAAGTCATCCCTTCCCTTAGATAGCTCTCGTGTATTTTGCTATATTCAAGTAACCTAACCTAATCATACTCTACCAAACACTGTACCTCACAGACTATAGCTGAAATGAAAAAAAAAATGAAAACGTCGAAGTGATTAAAATTATGTTTCTGGAAGCAGCAGATGCATTTTTTGCGAGTTTAAAAAAATCAAATATTACATGCTATTGCTAAGGAACTTCTTGTTTATCTTAAGGAACTTACGGTTTATGCATCAATGAGATAAGGCTGAGGATATGTCGCATAACATCTGTTTACCAAATAAATAAATAAATAAAACTTGCAGCGTCACTACAGTTTATCTGTCCCATCAATAAATCTATAACTAACATAATTCGGTTGTTCTTATTTATTATGATGACATATGGGAAATTTATTAAAACAGAAGAGCTTCTAAAATGCATTCCTTTAAAGATATTATTACGAAAAGATTTACAATTAAAAGTAAAACCGCTTTATTTCATCTGAATTTTAACGGAACGAAAAAATACTCTAAAGGGTTTGCTGTCATTATTGATGCTGCTAGTGAAAGAAAGAGTACATTTTTTAATCTTTGCAAAGAATTATATTAGAATGTTGACTTTTAAAGGAACTTTCTTCAGCTTTAAAATTTTGACAGACTTCTGCATTTTTCCATTCTTGCAGATAACATTAAAAGAGAATCAAATTTTATATATAAGACATGAGAAAAACTTTATGTTAAATGTTTCACAACGGACTGGCAGTTTTCAGCAAATGTCTACTTGGTAAAGTAAGTAGAGCCGAAGAGAAGTACACAGTTTTCTTTATTTCAAAAACGAAACCGGAAAAGGGAAGCTGAAAAACCTACCGGAAAAAGGAGTTTATATTCACATAAATCAGTTTATGGTAGCAGTTTTTAACTGAAGTTTAACAGCTTCATGAAAGGAAATTAATCTTGCTGTACAGTTTCTTTTAGCTCTTTATATGAATATTAATTATTATTTTAATTACGATTATTAATATTAATATATCAAATATTCATTATGAAAAATGTTTGTTAGAGTAACTCTTCATCAGAAATAAAGCTGAAATTTTACTTAGTCATGCCGCTTCAATTGAGAGATTAATGTACAGACTTTTGTCTCAAGAACAAAAACGAGCAATTTTAATTCAGTGAGCAAACCGAACAGAAGTTTTATTTTTTAATATCGTTTTCGATTCTTAAAGACAAGAAAGAAATCGCTTCGCTTTATATCGCAATTTTAGAGTTATTCATTCCCGTTTAAGCGCTAACATTGAGATAATGTGAATGATAAAGAAGAATCCCAATCTTATGAAATAATTAATATGGGTTTAAAAATTCAGGGAATCGTTTTTATTAAACATTAAAAAAATATTTCAACGTTTTTTGCTACAAAATTTCCATCTGATTACTTTTTCACTCCCCTAATTTTCTTCATAATATTATTTTTCTTTTTGCTTTAGTTATTTGCATATAGAATCTTTAATTTAAATATCAGATGAAAAATGTTGCTTTAAGCATCACTTGCAATATCAAAAAATACCAAAAATTACACACTACTGTATCTCACTTATCAGAAGGATAAGGAACGGGCGTGAATTTCAAGATTGTCATTGTTTCCACTATGTCTTTCAAGTTTTGACAAAATTAAACATTGGTTGATGTCAAGTATTACTCGTAAGGAAGATGAGGAACAAGCTGGAACTTCTAGCTTATTTTTGTTTACACCATTTACTAGCACCAACTGCGACACGGCTTTGTGGTGTCGTGACAGTGAAAATTGTCCTCCTGTCAGGCCTAAATCTATGGAAGCATTGTCTTGGTGCTCACAATTTTTCATAATACGTTTTGGAATTAATAGTATTCCGTTCAACGTAAAATTCACCCTTTGGATAATGAACATTACTTTATAAGATAAAAAAGTAAAATATGTTTACTTACTGAGAGATAGTTGACTTTCGTAAACAAGCCATAAGGTGCCGCTGCAGCAAAAGAAACTATCCAGATGATGATAATGTTTCGAAACGCCCTAGTCACTTTCGACCTAGTAGTCTGGTGCAAAGGATGGCATACTGCAATATACTGCTCACAGCTGAATGTAACAATAGTCAAAATGGATGCATAAGCGGTAGCCTCTGCCATCACTGTGCGAAGAATGCACATCCAACTTCCAAGCTGCCATGGATATTGATGCCACAAGCTGTACATTTCCAACGGCATCGCTAAAAAATCAAAAATGTAATTACAAAGAGGGTAAATTTGTTTTTAATTTTTCTAACTGGAAATTAAATAAAAAGTTTATATTCTAATAGTATTTATATGTTATTTTAAGATGTAATGATATGCATTCATAATATATACTATATATACATCATGTCCACAAAAGTACTTTGCCTTTATTTTCGCAACAGTTGGTCGTAGACATATGTTTCCTACTACAAAAGTATTTTAAATGACGCAACTAGTTCTGTTTTGGCATTAATAAATTTAAGGAAACTTTTCGAACATATACAAAATATAACTTTTTATGTAATCTGTTTTTACTGAATGCTTTTTGCATTTCCTTTTTTTTTTTTTTTTCATTTTACAGTGTCCCTATACTTATATTAGAAACACTTTATACTCATGATATGAAACGAAACACACGAAAATAAATTGATTCCCGAACGATTGAACTTGACTGAGATTTCAAAATTTGAGATTATTTGGGTTAAGACTTCTGTTAAATAACTCAGAAAGATTCGAGTTTGATGTTACCCCTTAAATGCCATTAGATGTTTTTTTATGATTTTGCACGGACAGAACTTTTAGGTAAGCAATTCATAAGTTTCCAAACGCTAAAAATACGTCGTTAGTATTCTCATGCAGTTTTATTATATTAAAAATCATTCAGAAATCATAACACAATAGTCATGCAAAAAGTCATTAAACTTGAAATAGGTTTTTTTAGTTAATGCAAATAGTGTTACTAGTTTTCTGCATGCCAGTACCGAACACTGCTAGTATTTTCTAGAACACGAAGATTCTGTGAATTAGATTTGAAAATATTACATTGGTTAACACTTTTAAGAATAATCTGTACAAAAATGCTTCTCAGTACTTAGTCTGTTAACCACAGAAGCATTTTCTGTTAACTGATATTTTATTTTTACAAATGCAAATATTTGGCTCTTCAGTTTGTGCACGACACTGGAATATGATTTGTAAATTTAATATCAGATATCTCAGTCAATTTTTATCATAAGAGATACAAAAAGACTAAATAAAAATATGATCTGTCTTTACTGAATGCTTTTTGTATTTACTTATTTTTTTGCATTTTATTTTGTATAACGAGTACAATATTTTTTTAAATATAAGTACAGGGACAGAGGAAACGTGTACAACAGGTTAGATTTCTTAATTTTTGCAAAACTAAATTTTAAATTTAAACATGCCGCAATAATAATATTTGAGTTAATTAAGACACAATAACACGCCGAATAAATACTAATTCAGAAGTCAAACAACAAAAATCAGCGTTATATTTACCAAATTTTCACAGGACTAGTTTCGATGGTTTTACCGAACCACCATCTTCAGCTGCAAAACCGCAAATTTTTGCGGTTTTGCAGCTGAAGATGGTGGTTCGGTAAAACCATCGAAACTAGTCCTGTGAAAATTTGGTAAATATAACGCTGATTTTTGTTGTTTGACTTCTGAATTAATATTTGAGTTATAAAAACATTTTTGTGATTAGAGTTGTGTACATCTGCAACCAAAGGTTACGAAAATAAAGGCCGATTAAGAACTTTTTGAACAAAGTGTTCATTCAGTACAATTTCATCCATGGCTATTTGGCAATCATACAGTCTTCATAGATGCAAGAGATAAAAGCTCATTAGGCATTTAATGACATGTAAAATCTTACTTTCCTTATTAATTTTAAATAATAGCGGTCAATGTACTTCAAAAGCTATTTACTAAAACAGCCTTAAATTTTCAAAACTATTTGTTCTTAAAGAAACTGATAAAGGAAGATTTACCTCTTAAAATGCATTGCGTCTTTTAATTTAAATTCAAAGGTGTGATGCAAGAGTGTGCTATGCATTATTACATATCATATTAATTCGTAGTATATTAATTATATGTATTATTATAAAATTATTTCTATTCAATTAAATGTATTGATCTTATCCATTTTATATCAACGCTAAACAAAAGTTATATTCTCTAACCGTATAATAAATTTTACTTCACTTACTTTTTTTTTTCAAAAGAAAATTTCATTTCGTAACCATGGACTCATTTCATGGTAGAAGATGAAAAACAAGAACGCTTATTTTTTTTTTAATTGAAAATTTTAAATTCCTTGTGCACCACATAGTATTACACAAGGCTTACAGAGATAAGTAAAAAAACAAACAAGTACAACAACACAAAATAAAATAAACTTACAAATTCACAGATGACACGTAAGAGATAAATTTACAGAAGAAAGAGAAAGCCATTTTATGTTGGAAAAATACGTGAAGAGGGGGAGGAAATGTAATATTCACATAGTTTAACCTAGAAATGAGTTCTTTTCTTCCTTCCTTGAGCTTTGAACAATAAAACAACAAATGTTCGACATTTTGCACTCCCCCGAAACTGCATGAACATAAGTCTGTATTAGATAATCTAAATCTCTTCAGATATGAATTGAATTTATCATGTTCAGTTAGAAATTGAGTAACTTTAAAATTGCAGAAAAAGTGTTACTTAAAGAACACTTATTTGCTATCATTTTTTGTACATCGATTAAAAAAGCAATAAGAAAAATGTTGTACGAGTATAATATTAAGAATCAGATATGTACTGCAGAAATAATATGCTTATGCAAGACTGCATGTTTATATAAGATAATCTATTTTATATAAAAGTGAAAATGGTAGAAGTTTACTTCAGAAAAATTAAATATTGTTTTCAGTTGTAGAAGACAGCTTAAAATCTCTGATACGTAATATTGGTTCTTATACCTTTGCAAAAAAAGAGTCAAAATTGAAATGTTTGAATCTGAGAATTTTGTAACAGTTTTAAGTCAGTTTAACAGTTTTTTTTGTAACAGTTTGTAAGTTTTAAGTCAGTCAAGAAACACATATTCTTCAATTATTACATTCTAAGCTAAAGTGTTTTTTAAGAAACGAATATAATAAATTTTTTTTATATATAAAAGGCTGAACACTGAGCCATTTTCTCCCAAAGCACATAGAAGCTGACATAAAAAGCTAACTCGTGTACGTACAACTTACATTTTCAAATCGCTATTTCCGAATGAATGATCTTATTTTTCTTCACTGTATAGTTAATATTTTTCTAAAACCGATTATTCAAATTTCTGTTCTATTTACCATAGTAACCCATTATTCCACGAGTTAGTATTTTGTTAAGTTCGCGTTTTAGCACAATTAATAACAGTGAGCGCAACTGAACGTGAAGAAGGAAAAAGAAATAGGCACGTTTGTATTGTTTCCTAAGTTATAAGTAATTTTCTCCCTCCTTTCCGCATGCCTTCCTGGCGTAACTGGAAACACGCTCGACGCGTTTTCGGAGCTCGAATCCTGGCGAAGGCATAGGGGATTTCTTCAGTTTACCGCATCGAAAAGCCTAACGACTCTACAAAGTTCATTTTCTGTTAAGAAGAAATGCAAGTGAATGTAACATTATTTTAAAAAAATTGAGAAATATCGTTTCCGGAAGTTGGATTATTAATTGTGTTATTCCAAAGCTAGAATGCTACACTTACCAGCAAGAAAAGTGAGAAAGACGGCATCACAATCAAATTTATGCGCTGGGAACGAATGCTCAACCATAAAATTCGTTCTGCGGTAGAAAAACTGATCTCAGTTATGCACTAGCAAATAATTTTTAAAGTTAACAGCATAAACTGCAAATGAAAATTTAAATGCTGCATTTCTTGTAATAGTATACTGGACGTTATCCGTTGAATAAATTTGCCATTAATATCTATTTTGAAATTTCCACCAATTATTGAAAATCTGGTGTGGTCGACATTTGGATCTCCAGGTAATTGTGTTTCCCCACGAGTGTTCGCCAACCATAATTAATCAGAAATTAAAAAAACGCTCATTCAGTAGGCCACAAATGATTTCTTACAGCATCCCAAAAGATCTAAAAAAATATCTAAAAGTACTATACCCAATAAACACACGTCTCGTTTTTTTAAATGCTGGAAATTTGTCTTTTCACAGAATCTTAAGCTATCAAAATGGAAATTGTGTTTGAAATGTAACGTTTTATATTCATTGTAAAATATTTCATAAGAATGGCAGACAACCTTTTAATATTAAACTTTGTTGATGCCTATTATCTGTATTTGCTTCATTACTGCATTTTTAAAAATTCAAATGGAACTCTCCGTTATGAAAAAAAGCATTAGGTTTTAGGAAAACGTAAAGAATCTGCCATCCCGTTTTTCATGAGTTTCTAAAACGCAATATGAGGAAGCGATTGCGAAATGATAATTATTCGACAGCAAGATATTTTTATATTTTTTAAATTTGTTATTGTTCGTTTTATCACTTTTATTTTTTATAGCTTCATATTTTCCGCATGATTTATTTTGATTATTATTGTTTTTTAAAATGCATCAATTACGTTCTGTTTTTCACAAATGAGTCTTCAACGTCTGAAGCTCGGTTTTCAGTGTTTCTGAAAAATGAAGGAAGTGGCACCAGCTGTCTTTTAGATTCATTGTGAAAAATCATTCCTAATTCTGTGAATCAGTTTTAAAATTCATAACCAATAAATTACATAAAACATAACAGATTTTATTATACTGAAATATACTCAATAATTGTTTAATAAGTTGTTTTCATATATTTCAATGTATCCACCTCTGTCTTTACTCATAGGACCATATATTTATAAGATATCATTTCATCCACATGTACCCAGTGTGTTAAGATCGAACAGAGCCATAGTATAAGTGATATGGCTGTGAAGTTTCTGGAGGTTGCCCGTACTGCACTGGAATGGATTCTCCACATTATATGAAAGAACGCATTATCTGCCTGCCTTCTTGCATGAAGTTTCTAGGCAAGCTGGCTCGTGCTCACTTTAAACATGAGGAAAATCATAAAAACTTTCATACAACCTGTCCATTTGAGGTGATTTGAGCCTAGGTCGAAATACTACCAGTGTTCAATGGTTATACTGCTCAGCTACTGGTGGACAAGTTATT